GCGAGTGAGCCAGCAGCGAGATCGGGGAGCGAAACGAAAGCAGGCTTAAAGACAAAATTAGGCAATTAAAAGCGAGAATTTTAATTGTTAAACCACGCGAATATATATCTGGGCTGTATTGTACGCATTGTTTCGGTCAGTCAATGCTATTCAACATGAACGTCCCGAGTGGCAGCGGTTTATTATTTCTCTCTGTGTGTGTTTTTTTTTTCTACGTGAGGGTATTCTGTGTGCTTGAGCTGCTTTCGAACAATGGAAGTATAGGCCTGCCTTGTTTTATTTTCTTATTTTTTAGTTTGACGGCATAAATATGTTCTTATTGATTCAAATTGGGAGTAACAAGAATGCAGTCTACTGGTAACGTACAGCCTTCACGAATTTTCCTCCAGTGCTATACGAACCACCGAAAGTTTTCTTTTTGCACACATATACAAACGCACGCAAGTACAGAAACAAAGGGTGATAGACACCCCCCCCCCCCCTTTCACCTCAAATTAGATGTCAGGTTACGTTATCTGTTTTAACCAGCTTTTGCTCTTTATCTTCCCCCATAGTCATTTGTTGTTCCACTTGCTGGAAAGGAACAAACTATCTGCCAACAGAATCACTGGTATCTAAAAAAACGCAAAATAACGGCTAATATTTGCTCACGTGACAGAAACACTGCATTTCGCAGTAGCCAAGCTCAATTTTTCTAAACAGGCTTCAGTGTTAGTTAACCACCTTTTTTTTTTAACTTGAAGACAAACTGGAAAATGCAGAAATGCACAAAATGACAAATACAAAAGAAAGATACAGACAAATGCAGACTGCAGTGGATTCCAGCACGTTTATGGCACGTCTTCAACGGGGCTCTCAGATAAAGCACGCGATTCGGATTGAAAAGAGCACATCGGAACTGTGGTATTCCCATCGAAACCGCGGCCATCAAAATCGGGGCGTTCCGAAAGTAAACATACGCCCAGCTTGAATAAAGTAGGCAAGAAAGAAATACAACTCTACTGTGTTGCACGGTGCGGTATACCACTGCAGAACGCCAAGTTTCTTCCACGCGTATACTGCGTTGTCTTGTTCAAGAAGAAACACCGGTGTACACCGCGGAGAAAGCTTCCCCGTACCCCGATTTGTTTATAGATTCTTTTTTTCGAAATTCTTCCGATGCCCCCGGGGGAAATTACTGGCCGCGCTGCTTGCGGAAAGATGCTGCCCCTCTTTTCCCATAGGCACCGCGAAGAATAATTTTTTTTCCAAGTTGGTTCGTTCGAAAAAGAAGGCCCCGCTACACTATCTGGCGTCCTTTTTTTATATGCTCAATTATCTACCACTGCAACCTTGTTCGTCAGTTTCAAAAATATAATGAAGAGAAGAGAAACGAGATGCAGCAAACGGACGTACTTTCTTTTTTGAAAACGTTACGGCCTCGTTCAGGGTTCAATCAACTGAACTCCTTTTTTTTCATGATTGAATGAACTCCCCAAGGATATATGATGACTGAACACGAGATGCCAGATGGATAATGTGATGCCCGGCATGCGTAGAAGCAGCGAAGACATCCGAGCGCATAATAGAATGCCGTATCTTTGTCGCGCCCGTCTGTAAGTCTTACACTCCAGACGTTTGCTTTTGAATGAAAAAGAAAGAAACGAACTTTGGAGTAGCCTGTCACTGAATTTCAATGTGCTCGACACTGTGATACTTGCATTAAGCACATGCGGAAATCCTGAGACAGCCGTGATTTTTTTTTAAAATAGTTTGTTTGAAAGAATTGCAACTATTTAATTTGTCGCGTTAATATATCATTCTGGTTTCTGATAGGCTTAACTGATGAGAACGAACTATTCCGTACCCAGCGAACCAAGGCGCAGTCAGAAATATTTTCAATGGGGAGAGGGGGAAGGAGGTCAATTACTTTTTATGTATGATCATGCAATGCATATGTTTTCATGCAAGCACACCGATGTAATTTTTCTTTCATTCGCTTTTCGTTCATTATACTGAAGCTTTCAATACTTAGGCAATGACGTAAAAGAACAGTATCCTTTAAACACCCGCATTAGCGAATTCAAGTGCACTACAAAGAGCCTGAGCACGTAGCCCTTTTGTTGCTCTGCATTCTGTTTGGGTGCGGCTGACCCACAGAGGAAAGCGTGGAGCGTAAAAAAGCGCGCAAGTACCCAAAACCCAACGGCTAAAGGTCCCAGGAACACCAGCCTTATTAAAAAAAAAATTAGGGTTACCGGATGTGCAGTAACGCGCGGCTGTATCTAGGGAGGTGTTGAAGAGGTTATGACACCCCCGCCGAAAATGTTTCATGTTTTTTTTTGTCCCCGGGTGACACGGAAGCATTTACAAGCCTTCACATCAACCACAAGTTGCTAAAGCCGTTCTACACATAACACCCCTCCCAACCCCCCCCCCAACCCCCCCCCCAAAAAAAAGAATAAAATTCTGGGTCTACTGTAATCCAGTTTGTATCATTAAGGTAACTTTCCGTTGTCTATAACAAACACTTCAGGATATTGGTGTTTTAACAAACCGAAACACCCATGTCTTGGGCGTCTTGAAACTAAGACCCTAGGATAAGGATGTTTTGACAAACCATCCATGGTGTTTTAAAACACCCACGACATGGGTGTTTTGGTTCATCAAAACATCCTTATCGTGGGGTTTTAGCTATAGACACGGTAGGGCTTCCTAAAGAAAAAGGGAAGAAAAGCGCGGCGTCATTACTGTCTCTCTCTATGGAGGACACCTCCACAACACCGCACGGTAGATGGCGGAATGGGAGTGAAATGGATAGGAAGCAAAAAAAAAAAAAAGGTGAGAGAAAAATGTTATAGACACGGCAAAGCACCCTATAGGTTACAAGCTGGTTTATAGTGTACGCCCTTGCAGTAACGCCATTGCGAATAAGCAGCTCGCAAGCAAGCAAACCAGCCACAAAACGAAGCGCCTCCTGCGTTCACTGCGCGAATCATTCGGTGTACCCCTAGGAGGATCGTTCCATCGCCAACCGGTCCGAGTTGCGTCGGCCGCGGCGAAGGATTCCGATTTCAGCCAGATCTTATCGCGCTGTCCCCGCAAGCTACTCGAGAAACAGCTGCGAACACTACACGACTGCCTATTAGCACAGCCTCTAGTCTGCCGTTCTTATCGGCGAGATTTATCGCGGGCTCCGAGCTATAAAGCAGCGCGACAAGCGCAGCGACAGCCTTGACAGCTGGCACTGCACCATTCGTCAGTACCGGACCTGCAGTATCAATATTACCTTTTCTCGCAAAGGCGATAACGATGATGGCGAACACACTGTTGCTTCTTCGCCGCGGTATTTTCGTGAATTTGAGAAAACTCCCCCCCCCCTCCCTTTTTTTAGAAGACAAACTGTGCGTTGACACGAACAAGCAATCAAAGAGAAATCAGATTATAACTCCGCGAGCCCCATTCAGCGTGCACGATCACTTAGAACGAATAAACTGCAGCTAATTTCAATGCATTCCATTTAACGGTTGTCTATTTATGAAGTATCTTCGAATGTGTGCCTAATACATAATATTATGCACACAACACGCTGATATAATACGGATCCGAATCAATGTTGAAACGATTTTGTTCAAGAGTATTCTTAATACATATCCGATGTGTTTGTCCCTGTCTCCGCAGATGATGTACCTTCTTGGTTGAAATTTCTACGCTGCGTACGGGCAATGTATACTTGATCGCTTTCAGGCATACAAACGGACGTCCGTTGTAATTAAGCCTCGCTTAAGGCATCTTCCGTATTAATTGTTGGGGTTCAACATCCCGAAACCATGGTATCATTACGAGGGGCACCGCGGTGGAGGGCTCCGGAAAGTTACATTCACTTGCTGCAACGTGCAGCTAAATTTAAGTATACACAGGCGTCAAGCACTCTCGCCTCCATCGAAAATGTGGCCGCCACGGCCGAGATTCAATCCCGCAACCTGCGGGTCGGGACTAGAGCACCATAACCCCAATGCGGCGGGTGACCCTCGGGCCTTGTGCTTTATCAAAGACGATATTTCATACCAGGCAGGTGTCAGTCACGCTTATTGATTAGTCAAAATGCGTAATGAATGGTCAGTTAATATGAAAACGCTGTAGAAGAAATTTACTCGACTGCTGGTTAAATTTAGAAGAAGCGCAGCCTCTCAGATTAAACGTCTAAACAATACGCGAGAACAAAGTCGCGTTTCACGGGGAACGCGCACGGTACCGTGTAAAAGACGCAATTCTTTCGTGCTGTTAATTTAGGGCCGAATATTCTGCATGCTTCGGCTTGGCGAAAATTTTGCGGTTAACTGCATGCACGGCTGAAAAAGAAAGGCGATCCAGGCAATTGCCCCGCGGCTGGAAACAGCGGCAGGTTGAGCGAAAGTATTGAAAGATACGGACGGTTCACCACGCTTTCGATTATCGCCGGCGGTACATGTCAGCCGCTGATCGAGATATGAAAGGTCATTGCGTTTGTTTGAACCACTGAAAGAGCTGTCAAGGTGAGCCGGTAGATTTCTAAATCTTCCAGAGAAAATATAATGCGGAAATGGAAGACGAGCAAAACAAAATTTTTTCGTCGAAGGTCCCCAAGGGAGACTATCGTCTTTGAAAACTTGGAAACGAAAGTTGATGACCAGTGCTGTTCCCATGCGCACCCTTTTTTGTTTTTTTATAATTAATCGTATTCTCCATTAAACACTGGAAATTTTGAAATGATCAGCACCGTAACGGACCCTGCATAGTTCAGAGGAACCGCTGGCTACCTTCAGTCTGCGTCATCGCCTCAAGTTTATGTGCACTTTACATGAGCCTACAAGATTGTTCTTAAGTTTCACCCACGGTTCAATGTTTCACCGCCACGCCCCCCATTTCATAGAGGAGACGTAGGCTGTCGATGGAAGCACTTGCGTACGAATTTTCAGAACTAGAAATAATGTTTCTGTTTATGATTAATTGATTGATTGAGAGGAGTAGAAGCAACTCACCCGTACAGAAGCGCAGCTCCCGCGATAGCACCTCCACACTGCGCCGACACGTAGAGGATCGTCCGTATGGGGCTCACTTTTCGCGTCGCGAACGTCGCCAGCGTCACGGCGGGGTTCATGTGGGCGCCCGATATGTGGCCGTAGCACTGCACCAGCGTCGCGGCCGCCGCTCCGGACGTGAGCGCGATGGCCAGCACCGAGGGCTCGGCGTAACCGGGCCAGGACACGTGCGCGCCGCACACCAGGAACACGTAGAAGAAGGTGGCCAGGCACTCGCCGATCACCGCGCGCCAGAGCTCCAGGCTGCGGATCTCGGAACGCAGCGAACGACGCCGGCAGGAAGACGTCGTCGTCGACGACGACGTGCAGCGTCCCGCCGAGTCCAGCCGGCCCAGCAGCTGGAGGAACAGCGACTCCAGGCTGACGGCCGAGGTGTTCGCCGCCATACCACAACCGCGTGCGCGAACCAAAAAACAAGACACCGCCCAACGAACGGGGCACAACTTCTCGGGGTACTTTCAGGGGGTCATCGCGGTCCCGTCACTACCCATTGTCAGGCAGTCGTCGTTCGTGGCTCCGTTATCCGAGAGACCATTCCTGGCAGGAGCGCCAGCGCGGAGAGCACGGGACAGCGCCGGTCGGGGACCGCGCGGGACCGGTCGAAGTCATCGCCGCCGGGATTGGAAGCGTTTATCGCGGGGCAGCTCCCACCGTGCGCGCTGGCGTCACGGGCGCCGAGTGATCGCTCGCCGCACCGGCCCTGTTCGACGAAGCGCCCCCTGAAAGAGGAGGAGGAGTGAAGGGAAGAGGGGATGCGAGTTGTAACGTGGCGCCGCGCTAGCTAGCCAGCTCGCGCGCGTGCTGGGAGGGGAAGGCTCGATTCCCCGGTGCGATTACAAGTTTCTTTTGCGTTGGGGAACGGCCGGGCCCGGCCCGGTCCGGTTTGCTTGAATAGGAAGTGCTTCCGACCTCGTGCGATACCGTGGGGTTGTTTAATAGACTCCCGGGTCACGGGTATGCGCCCTGACGGTCGAAGAAGCGAGTTGCACCGATAGAACCATCAAACACTCGGCTCATCCTGGCCAAGGGCAGAGAGAGAGGGGGAGAGACAACAAGATAAACAGGAAATAAGGCGAGGTAAAGATCATTACATTGAAATGCGTACCTGAAAACTAAAGCTAAAACGAAAGGCTCATAAGCACACACCGAGAAATTGTAGCAATGCTTAGTTTCCTGTGAAGAAGAGTATCTAAATATATCGCTTGTGTGTGTTGCTTGTGCATACGATTCGCCTAATGTAAAATAACATCAAAGAAAGAAACACTCAGGTTGAGCTTCAAAGAATGAATACCTAGAAAAACGGTACGAAAAAGAACACTGATGGCACACGCGCAAGCACAGACTAGCAAGTGAAAGTTTATAAAAGAAAACACAAACGTGAATAGCAATAAATGATGTAAGATATTAGAGGTTGGCAGTTAGATAACCTATCTCTAGTTGGTGCAATGTGACCGAAGGCCTGGCAACTTTCAGTTAGTTGCTAGTCTGCGCTCGTGTGCGTGCCTGCTGTGTTCTTGTCTCTTTTTTTCGCGCAGTTTTTGTAGTTATGGATTACCAACTCATCCAGTGTTCAGTCCTCTAGAAGAATGAAGTGGTGTCAGTTGGTGCAGTGTACTCGGAAAGAAAGGCACAATTATATGCGATACGCTTTTTTTCTGAATTTCGATAATAGCTCAGTGATTGGCGTTTTGCAGCAGACACCTACACCTTCACTTTGGGGAAGAGAAATGGTCTTGCCTTTTATGCTGATCTTCAGATGCGCAAAGTAACTTCGGAAGAAGAACGGTCTCCTGTATGGTTTGTGCGACGTGGAGCTCGTCTCCAGTATGGTTTTTGCGACGTGCAGCTCGTGTTTACCACGATATCAAGAAATGTAGGTACACTGTTTCCCCACATCACCATCCTTTGATGTTCCTGTTTTTTTCTCCCTCTCTCTTATTATGGGCGAAGCTTTCGGGTCTAGGGCAATCGGTCCTTCCGGCGTACCCAGAAGTGTCTCCCTTATCATACGATAGGTGGCACCATCCCATAGAAAGGCATGCAAACTGCAGTTGGGTAACGATATACTAGATGGTGCTGTACGCATTCTGTGTCGTCATCACCATTTCTCGTTTATTTTCATATTGCTCTCATATTGGCAGCTGCGCGGGCTGCGCCGGCGTGCCCGTTATCTCTCATTGGGGAGTATTAGAATAGCACGCCGCAAGCGCCTGTGGTGTGATCGCCGCCACTGCGCATGCGTCGAAACGCAAGCCGCCATTTGCGGTTGCGGTCCGCCCGCGGAAAATCCTAAATAGCATGCGACCCGCGAGGCCCGCAAAGCGCTGTTGTCGAGGATATGTGTAGTTTCCGTGCCTTTGGGTTTGCAGGGTGGTTAAAGTCCCTAGGTTTTTTTCTCTAAGAGGGGCAAACGTTATTTTAAAACTCATATGGCACGCGCTACGCCCGCAAAGCCCGCAGTGCGAGAGAACGTTATTCTAAACATCCCTAATCTCCTGGATCGTCACCGTACGTGTCGGATCGCGCTTGGTGGATCGACAGGCTGCCGTCAAGCGAGCGCGCCGCCAGGTGGATCTCGGGACGGTGCTCACCAAGGATTGATCAATTGATTGATTGATTGATTGATATGTGGTGTTTAACGTACCAAAACCACCATATGATTATGAGAGACGCTGTAGTGGAGGGCTCCGGAAATTTTTGACCACCTTGGGTTCTTTAACGTGCACACAAATTTAAGCACACGGGCCTACAGCTAAGCCGCTGCGAAACGGGCTCAACGAGAAGCGGACCCCAAAATGCGCGAGCGGGAAGCGGCGGCGAAGCGCGCGCGGCGCCGGGCGGACACGGATACAGCTCCCGGAGGATCCACAGTATCACCGAAAATACACCAGAGCTTCGCCAACGTCACCATCATCCAGTCCATGGAGATGCTGGAATTTTTTTTTCCTCACACAGCTGTAAGTATGTCTTTATTCGCTCGATATGCATATCTTACTGGTTCAGAAAAAAATGACCTTCTTTATTGATGAGAGGTTTCACAAACAAATCCACGCATCTCTACGAAGAGAATGATGACGAGTGTGTGATACTAGGCCCCAAGGTCCATAATGTCTACGTTGAAGTCTTTGACTTTGTGGTAAAAAAACGCTGCCCTGGAGAGTGTGCGACATGCTTTGACGTAGAAAATCGGTGTGCGGGGCCGATTTAGTATTTCAGGGTGCGCGGGAATCATCATGATGGTGATGGCGGTGAAACTATGAGCTCGCCAATGCGCGTGCTCGTGCGCGTACCTCGTGGAAAGCTCCCGAGCCACGGGGACAGCTCGGCTAACCGCAGAGAGCAGAGCGCAAGGACAAGTTCGGGCCACGCCCCGGCTGCTCGTTCTGACCCTCCGTGTCCGGGCCTCGTCTCGGCGTTGAAGTCCTCGGGTGCGTCCTGGACTGGGCGTCGCCCCACCTCACCCCCACGTTGGTCTGAAGCAACGTTCGTCACGGCCAGCTGCTGTTCTGGTCTCGGAGCGAGACGCTGTCCCAGGTGTGTTCGCGGCAGTCGGCGGTACGCTGTTCTCGGTGGTGTACAGGCAAGCCCAGGCGTTGACCACCGTACTGGGATGCCCCTGGCGGTTATCTTCTAGACCGGGCCCCGCCTCGGTACGAACTCCGCAAGCACAAGGCACACCGCCTCCTGACTACCAGAGAGCTCAAGGTCAAGCGCAACGTTCACGCCCCAAGGGTAGAATGTGAGTGGACGAACAAAAACATTAACTCCCTTTCGCGTAGGACCGTGAACGTATATGTGTGAGTTTATGTTGTGTGTATCCCTTTGTCCATCTTCGTGTATACATCTGGCTAACCTGTGCCCACAGTTGCCCACAAATTTTGGCGAGCCTGCCAGGATAGATCGGCCTTACCTTCTTGCCGAGAGCCAGACGGGCGGGACGAACACATGGTCACATTACGCCATGTATTTCAACGTGTGCGCGAGGCGCGTTTAACTATCAAGCCGAAGAAAAGCGAGATAGGTTCCCCGACGACTAGCTTCCTTGGTCACATTGTGGGACAAGGGCTGCTACAACCTCAGAAGGACACATCAGACAAAATCGTGTCAGCGAAACGGCCGGAAAGTAAGAAAGAGCTTCGAGCCTTTCTCGGACTTACCGGCTACTACCGAGAGTTTGTGCCCAACTATGCCGAGCTTTCACATCCACTACCGAGCTCACGAAGAAAGGAAGTCCTAATAAGCGGGACTGGCGTGACAAGCATCAGGATGCATTTCAAAAGCTTAAGGCAATGATGTCAAGGCGACCCATACTGAAAGCACCTAACCTCGAAAGGCCTTTCGTATTGCGCACTGACGCGTCATCACGGAGTTTGGGAGCTGTCCTCCTACAAGAACACAATGGTCTCTTGCATCCAGTGTCCTACGCCAGTAGAAAGCTGCTACCGCGTGAAGTGGCATATTCTACAATTGAGAGAGAATGCCTTGCCATCGTGTGGGGTGTCCAGAAATTTCATGTGTACCTCTACGGCAGGCCATTCGTTTTGCAATCAGACCACCAGCCACTGAAATACATCAACTCTGCCCGACAAATCAACACACGAGTGCTACGCTGGAGTCTACTCTTGATGGACTACGACTTCCACGTAGAATACATTCAGGGCTCAGATAATGTCGGTGCCGACTATCTTAGCCGCACATCTCTTACTACTGACTAGGCTGTCCGATTACTCGTATAGACACACAAAGAACTCATGACGCGGGTAATACGTTGTCTACTCTATGAACATGCCTACCCTTCTTATCCCACCGTTTCACTGTTCTTGAACTGGGGGGAAGATGTGGTAAAAAAACGCTGCCCTGGAGAGTGTGCGACATGCTTTGACGTAGAAAATCGGTGTGCGGGGCTGATTTAGTATTTCAGGGTGCGCGGGAATCATCATGATGGTGATAGCGGTGAAACTATGAGCTCGCCAATGCGCGTGCTCGTGCGCGTACCTCGTGGAAAGCTCCCGAGCCACGGGGACAGCTCGGCTAACCGCAGAGAGCAGAGCGCAAGGACAAGTTCGGGCCACGCCCCGGCTGCTCGTTCTGACCCTCCGTGTCCGGGCCTCGTCTCGGCGTTGAAGTCCTCGGGTGCGTCCTGGACTGGGCGTCGCCCCACCTCACCCCCACGTTGGTCTGAAGCAACGTTCGTCACGGCCAGCTGCTGTTCTGGTCTCGGAGCGAGACGCTGTCCCAGGTGTGTTCGCGGCAGTCGGCGGTACGCTGTTCTCGGTGGTGTACAGGCAAGCCCAGGCGTTGACCACCGTACTGGGATGCCCCCGGCGGTTATCTTCTAGACCGGGCCCCGCCTCGGTACGAACTCCGCAAGCACAAGGCACACCGCCTCCTGACTACCAGAGAGCTCAAGGTCAAGCGCAACGTTCACGCCCCAAGAGTAGAATGTGAGTGGACGAACAAGAACATTAACTCCCTTTCGCGTAGGACCGTGAACGCGTGTGTATATGTGTGAGTTTATGTTGTGTGTATCCCTTTGTCCGTCTTCGTGTATATAAAAGTCTCTCGTTGTCCTAGAACGTCCTCTGTCCTCATCTGGCTAACCTGTGCCCACAGTTGCCCACAGACTTGTATAAAGGATGGACAGATGGACGGACAGGTGGACGCATGCAAGATGCACGGAAGTGCG